GGCAATACTAGCCTTACTCTGGCCCATTAGAATTGCACCCAGAATAATCTCCTCTGCCCTCATGTGGAAGAGTGAGGAGACTTGAGTGTTTGGAACTGAAGCAACGGAGAAGAGGAATGAGAACTTGGGTTTTAATTCCAGCTTATAACTGTTAGCCAGGCTGGCCTTCTGAGCTGAAATAGTAAGCAGTCACCTAGTAGCATGATTTAAAGGTGGCTGAAAAAGCTCCTCTTCTTTAAAGAACATATTCTTTTATTTTAATTACATTCATTTATACAATGGAATTATTTCAGATGGTTTAGAAGTTAATTTGAGCTATCAGCCAAACACATCTTATAATTGTCTAGATGGAAGGGACCTTAAATATCATCTTTTCTCTAGGATAATAGAATTTAAGAGGTGGTAGATACCTCAAAGGTGATAGTACCGACCTTCTACTCAAAATAGGATTCTTGTCAATGGTATATTTAAGGGACTGTGCAACTATGAGTTACTATTGTTATTATTAGTCATAACGCCTCCAAGAAGTCACTTAACCTCCACCAGCCTCTGTTTACTCATGTGTAAAATGTGAGCTTTAGACTAAATGACTTCTAAGGTTCCTACCAGCTTTAGATCTGTGGAGCTAAATGAGCTTCCAGCCTCCACTTAAATTCTTCCAGCAGCAGAGAAATCACTATTTTTTAGGGCTTCCCAATCCATTTTTCAGCCAAGTAATACGCTCCTGCTTTACAACCAGGTCCAGAGAAGGTTCTACTTGTCCAAGGTTATACAATTAACTAGACAGTATTTTAATACAAATTCTTTGCTATGTAATCCAGTATGCTTTATATTATAGCTACTTTCCCTATAATAACTAGATAAGGTTGGAGAAATGGGAGTTTGTTTAGGTGTAGAGAAGATGAGAAGGCAGGAAGGGGCAATATTTTTTTAACTCCTTTGCTTAAAAAAAAGTCAATGGCCCTCCCTTCAAGAAGGAACAGCAATCATTTGGACTTCACTCTCTAGAGACCATGTCCCCTACTTCCACTCCAGGGTAATTAATATATTTAGTTTAGGAACTCTGAACTGGCTCTGAAATATCCTGATTAGTGGGTAAATGAGAGGCATTATACAGACCTAACCAGTACCACCTTTCACATATCATCTAGCATTCCATCAGGACACTAGAGTGTATCTAGAGTAAGCCTCTTTATTTCCCCCACAAACAGAATTACTAGGCTTATGCCTCAGAAGGATCAAATAAAGAATATGAGGGCCAATATGTATCAAAATATGTATAGTGGCTCTTTTTGTAGCAACAAAGAACTGGAAAATAAGGGAAGTGCCAATTAATGGGGATGGCTGAACAGATGATAATATATGAATGTAATGGAATATTATTATGCCATAAAAATGATGAAAGGGATAATTTCTTTTTTCACACTTAATAGCATTTTATTTTTTCCAATTACATGTGAAGATAGTTTTCAACATTCACTTTTATAAAATTTTGAGTTTCAATTTTTTTCTCCCTTCATCCCCTCCCCCCCTCCCAAAGATGGCAAGCAATCTGATATGGACTATGCATGTACAATCATATTAAACATATTTCCATGTCAGTCATGTTGTGAAAGAAGAATCAGAACAAAAGGATAAAATAATGAGAAGGAAAAAAACCAAAACAACAAAAAAAAGAGAAAGCTGTATGCTTTGATCTTCATTCAGACTCCATAGTTCTGTCTTTGGATGTGGATAGTATTTTTCCATCATGAGCCTTTTGGTATTATATTGCTGAGAAGAGCTAAGCATATCAAAGTTGGTTTGGGCGCAATGTTGCTGTTAGCATGCACAACGTTCTCCTGGTTCTTCTTACTTCACTCAGCATTTCCAGGTTTTTATGAAATCTGCCTGCTCATCATTTCTTATAGAACAATAGTATACCATTAAATTAAAATACCACAACATGTTCAGCCATTCAACAATTGATGGGCATCCCCTCAATTTCCAATTCTTGCCACCACAAAAAGAAAATTGCTGCTATCAATATTTTTGTACATGTGGGTCCTTTTCCCTTTTTTATGATCTCTTTGGGATACAGACCTAGTAGTGGTATTGCTGGATCAAAGGCTATGCACTGTTTAACAGCCCTTTGGGCATAGTTCCAAATTGCTCTCCAGAATGGTTGGATCCATCAACAATGCATTAGTGTTCCAATTTTCCCACATCTTCTCCAACATTTATCATTTTCCTGTTTTGTCATGTTACTCAATTTGATAGAGGTGAAGTGGTACCTCAGAGTTATTTTAATTTGCATTTCTCTAATCCCTAGTGATTTTGAGCATTTTTTCATATGACTAGAGATAGCTTTAATTTCTTCCTCTGAAAACTACCTGTTCATATTGAAAGGGACAATTTATTTATTTTTTTTTGTTTCAGCCAAAGACAAGTTTATTAGAACATCCACCATATTGGGCAGACTCTTAAGGATTCTGAACATTAGTGAGCTATTGGCTAGATTATACAAATCTAAGCAGTAGCTAGATTTTTTAAGAATCTAAGTTGTGGCTAGATTATGAGAATCTGAGCACTTTAATAGAGATAAGACAGACCTTACATACAGAAGGACTGTGGGAGGGATGTAGGAGTGGCCAAGTAGTTTGGGGTGACTGGAGGAAGGAGTCTAAGAAGGATCTGGATAGGAGTGGCCAGTAAAGTGGGGTGAACGGAATGCCTAGGACCTGGATTAAGCTAGATTAAGGGTGAGAAATGGCCAGGGGCCATAGGGAAGTAAGAAAATGGAGGGCTAGGCTGGGTTAAGGGTAACAGAGAGTTGGGAGATTGGGTGTAACCACAATGAAAGGCCAGTTGATGGGATTGTAGCCTTGGGAAATGCCAGAGATTTGGCTATGTGGGGGAGCCCAGGGTTTTTCTTTTTAGGGGTCCAGATTCCAACCCCATCATTCTCCCCTCAAACAAATGGGACCCAAATTCTTTTGGAGTAAAGGGCAAAGGTCTTGGCTTCTGAAACTGCTTCCTGCTAGCAGGGGGCATAGAGCTGTCTCTGCTTTGAGGGAGTCCTAAAGAGGAGATTGACTGGAACTGAGCACAGGCTGCATACAGAGAACGATGCGGGGATATTGGCTAGTACCACTGTTTGCTACCAACTGTAGGTGAATGGCCTGTAGTCTAGAACACACAAATCTGACAGAAAAGATTGTAGGGCCTAGATATAACAGGATAAAACATCCTTAGCTCTGTTTGGATTCAGATAATTCAGTTTTCCAACCATGCAGTATCAAATCCACCTGACAGCCAGACTCAGGAATAGCCAGGTGGGTAACATTCCTTTTCAATGGAACATAATGGGGAAAATGAGCCAGGAGGATCCCATCTTAGACTGAGGCTAGAATTGTCCTCTCAGCTTTGCCCAATGCTGACTTTCCACCAGTATCACATTCTCTCTGAGTACCTTGTGGCATTTGTCTCAGATGGTGGATTATTGATTATCGATAGATTATTATGATCCATCAGGCAACTCAAAAATCCTATGAGCTTTTACTTCAAACAGCAAGTTTCACTAATCACAGCTTGGAAAAACTTTTCCAAGATTTACATCTCAAATTTAAATTCGTCCTGGTGTAAAAAGCCAATTGTTAGAGATTATTTCTATATACTTGCAAATTCTCAGCAAGCTAAAACCCAAACAAGCTTCTTGGCAAGTTGACACATTAAAACAATAACCAACAATAGCCAAATTATTTTAGTGGTAATCAAATTATGAAAAGTTGCATGACATAACTGATACAAAAAGTTCATCAATTTGAAACTTGAAACAAACCATTACCAATCAGGTGACTTCAGTTTTGTTAAATGCATTTCCAAATTACTTTACAAAGAGAATAAACGTCTCATCATTAACAGTTAAAACTACAACTTTAAAAGAGCATGCTTACCCAAGTTCAGAGGCTAGCTTCTTTACCTTGAGCAGGATGTACTGAACCTGGTGCCTTCCAGGAAAAGGTTGCCCTAGGGCCCAAGGCCATTGCTAGTGGGGCCTATCCTGTAGCTGTTGCCTCTCCTCCCTCCTACCTTTCCCCAGGTGGGAGAGGGTGAACTCAAAGGTGAGGGGGAAAGAGTGAAACTCTCTTCTACTATGACAGCAGTTAACAGATACCCTTTTGACTCAAGGGAAGGGAGTGACCAGGTTGTACGGAGGTGTTTCAAAACTCCTTAATGATTGATCACAAAACCTCTAGAATATGCTAACATGTTTTTAGTTGTTCTAACTTTTCCTTGTAACCTCCATGAAGGAGGATCCAGGGGTAAGCCTCAGGGAACCAAAAAGCACCTACAGTTTTCCCAAATTCTCTAACACCAAAAGAATTGACAGAATTGAACGTATGCTTCAGGACAGGGACATGAGTCCTTGTCCTCTATGTTGCAGAAGGTGTACCCAGGTCCATGGCCTCAAACTAAACTAATGGACCAAGAGCCTGAGAGCGTCAGGCTTAGTGAGAGACAGCCTAGTAACTGTCTGCCTGAAAAGCACCTCCAAGCCTTGGTGCTTGGAGAGCAACCCCAACTGCAGAGCAAGAAGTGGGGGGAGGGGAGGAGTGAGACTTACATACCTTCCAGAAGTTTGGATTCAGTCAAAGGGCCACACTTGAGGACCTAGAGGGCCACAAGTGTCCTTGAGGCTGCAGGTTCCCCACCCTTGCTCTAGTTATATAATTAGAAAAGAATCCCTTCTATAGTAAAATGTAAACACTATAATTTGGCACCCAAGGCTCTCTAATCCTCCATTCCAAGTCTATGTCACTCTGCTCTTCAAATGTATTCGAGTTTATTCCAATCAAACTAGACCACTCACCATCTCTTGAGCTCATTCTTTCTCCTCTTCTTTGTCACCCACAGTGATTTTTCTACTCCCCCAATACTCAACCAATGGCCATCTCCATGAAGTCTTAACTGAGTCCACCCCTGCTTCTTACCCATATGATGAAAATTCTTCCTTCTTGAATTTGTCATCACATTTTTTTTTTGGAATATCTCCTTTGTCCCTCATATTCTGACTCATATTATAGTGATATATGCATATGCCATAACTTTGAATATAATTTCCTTGAAGATAGTGAATGTGTCATTTTTTTAAAAATTGTACCGTATATACATTAGGTATTTTATATGTTTGTTTCATTTTTGAATGGTTTTGTAATTAAAACACTTTATATGTGCTATTTCATTGACTCGACCCTGAAAGGTTCTTAGCCACGTTAACCTTCAAAGAGCTTGTCCAGCACTATTTTCTTTGGTTAGAGAACACCATTAATTACAAATTTTATACTTTTGTGTATTTTCTTTCCATTTCTGGGTTGTAATATGTTTGACATATTTAACATAAGTACAACTTGATTCTATTTGTTATGCTAATTTAAATTATTTGCTTTGACCCTTCCTAAATTCCTGTTAGTAAATTTGTAAAGACTAGTATTGAAACTAGTGGTGGGTAAAACTGTGGATTATAAAAAATGTATTTGTGGTATGCTATTTTATGGACTATTAAAACTTAACCACTGGGTCTCAGCAGTAATTTTTTTTTTCTTGATAACCCAGATGAACTCAATAAGCAAACAAACAAGCAAATAAATAAATCTGCCTCTCTGAAACTTACACCCATAGTACCTAACTCTGTCCAATAGGAGAAAGTTAAAACAAATAAACTAATATATCTTCCATAAACCCTCCCTTCAAATACTTGACAGGTATCTTGTCTACCCCAAGCCTTTTCTTTTCCAGGAAAAAAAAAAAAGAATGATCTCCACAGATGTTTGCAGTCCTCTCACCAGAGAGCATATTTGTATATAGCTGGTATGGTTCATACACATCTTTTTGTCATCAAAATTGAGTCATTTCAAAACTGAAAGAGATAGACAAATTGTGTCCTTAAGGATAATGTGGCTATGGTGAGCTCACTGTTCTGTGTGCCAGTTTTGACTGGGTATGCTTCATTCAATGCCAATTGCCTTCCTCAGGATGGAAATGTGACCTGTTAAAAGAAGAGTCAAACACATTGTTTTATTTAGAAGAACAGCTGCTAGTCATGTGCACTGTTTTACCCCCTTTAATACAAGGGCCATTGAGATGTTAAGCATGAAGGCATAGTATATCATCCTGTTGAACATTGCCAAGAAAGTCTGTCACACAGCATCAATGCCTTTTATTGCTGATACTTTCCCTACACCCCTCACACAAAGGCCTCAAGGATTCATGTTAATATTAAATCTACTGCAAAAGTTGGAACAGTGATGACATTCTAAAATAACAAAGGACCCTGGACATTTAAAAAAAAATCTACTTAAATTATTCTTACCCTTAATTAAAGTTTCTCTACATTAAAGATCAAAGCTGAAAATATACTGAGAAAAGAAGGTTAAATAAAACTGTGGCTCTTTTCTCTTTAAAAAAAAAATTGCTTTGGATGCTCACTATGTCCTCATTTCCTCATTTCTCTCTCTTGTGTCTTGACCAGGGAGAGGGGTTGTCCACAAAGTATTTGTTGCCTATAACTATGTCATCAAGAACAGTTCTGATAAAGGTCAAAGTTTCAGAAATGCTTTCAGCCTAGCAGACTCTAGTGATTTAAAAAAAAATCAGGCCTGATTTACTAGAGTAAAATATAAGCAAAGATTCTTCTTTTTCTTCTTTATTTTTTATTTGAAGACTTAAAATCCCCTTGAGAATTAGAAGCAATCTGATTGGTAAAGTGGTAATTGTACTTTAACTCTTTTGGAGTCATAGAATCCTGTGAGGGCTTGCAGTCAAACACCTACTAGTAATTCAGAAACCCTCTTCTCAGCTTGAAAACCCCACATGGCAAGGAACTTCAATATAGTTTCCTCCATTAGAATACAAGCTTCTTGAGGACAAGGACTATCTTTGCTTTTGTATCTGCATCTGCAGTGCTTGGCCCCATAGTAAGAGCTTAATAAATGATTTTTACCTCATGCATTTATTGTTGAAAGACATTTTAGGAATCATCAATAAATAAGGCTACTTACTGAGCCTGAGAGAGTCCAAAAAACTTGCTGGAGCTCACATGCTTTATAAGTGGCCTAGCCAGGGTTTGAGCCGAGTGTTTAGAAATGCGTCAAGGGCTACATTCAAAGTACATAACCAAGAATGAGGAGGGGCAGCTTGCCTCCATGGGCTACAGGGTAGAGTTCATGAGAGGTAAAGATAACCAGAGAAAAGCCATGTTATTCCCTAGTCTGCCTCCACCACCCCCTCCTATATGCCCTGTGGGCACAAGCAGTCCTTAGACACCAGGGGAAATGCAGTCCCCAGTCCTACTCCTTCCCTTCAGTTTAGAGCAAGGGATCAGGCTTGATTGCCACTCTCTCCAAAACCATTTCCCCGAATTGGCCTTTGATCACTGTCAGTCATATATTAGATTTTACCTTCTGAGAAGAGCTGTTTGTTTCTGAGAACAAGCTGTACATGCTGTACTACTCTTACTTAACTCATAGGCCGCATCTGCTCTGCAGTTATGCCTGATTTAGGGATGAAAAAAAAAAACAACCTCAAAGTTATAACTGGTTAGGAATCTTAAGGAAAACAAATCCCCCCTCCCTCCCTTGCTTTTTGCCCTCCTCCTCTTCCCTGCCCACTTACCCAACATACGGAGTGTATACTATCCAGGGCTCTCTCCTGGTCCTGTTTTTGTCTAGTCAGCATGAAGGATGAGAAGGAGGCCCAGAGCCAAGAATGAGTCACAAGCTAGTCATGTGCTGTGTGTTGTCAGGGTTGGCACAGAATCCTCTGGAAAGAGATTGAAGTGGTGACGGTCTTGTTTGGCTTTTAGAGGGATCAGCTGGATTACGAAAGAAGAGAGTATAGATTCATTGATATTTAGAGCTGGAGGGGACCTTGAAGAACCTTTGCCTGCATCCCTTTCTGCAGCTGAGGAAACTGAAAAAACTGTTGTAATTGAATGACTTGCTTTACTCAGGCAGCAGGGTCAGGGTAATAACCCAAGGCTCCTAATGTCTTGATCAGGCTCTTTCTAATGGCCCATGATCCTTCACCAATGAATGAATTACAGGGTGCCTGCTGGGTTTGGAAAATGTGGGGTCTGGCTTATCTACTGGTGCTTTGAACCAAATAGTCAAATCCCTTACTCAAAAGCCTGAGTCCAAATCTGAGTGTAGATGCAAAAATGGGTATGTTTATGCCTGTGTGTGAGTGTATATGCATATGTATCTGAGGGTGACTAGTCTTTGTGACAGATCAAGGGCAATATAGAGATAGTGGGTATGGATGCATACTTAAAGGTGTGTCCTTTTGACTTTGGCCTTAAAAGGATTTGTTCTGTAACATCTGGATTCAGCCAAAAGGTGGCACTTAAGGACCTAGAAGGCCACAGGTTCCCTACTCCAGTCTAGAGAAAAGGACTAATATTGGAATCATAAGATCTGGATTTGTCTACTGACTTTGATGCTTGAAAGCAGAACAATCTTGGGCAAGTCACTTACTGCCCCATGTTTCAGGTTCCTCATCTGAAAAATGGGTATGAGAAGTATACTGCATCTCTTATAGGGTTGCTATGAGAAAAGTGTTTACTTTTTCCAGTTTTTCTATCCAGATCTGTGATTTCATTGGTATAAGAAACTTCTGGTATGTATTTCACTCCTATAAAATGTAAGGTCTTTGATGATGCTCAGACAGCAAGTAGATATTGTTTTTCATTATTTATATTTGTATCCCCAGTGCCTGGCACTGGATACTTAATAAATTCTAATTCAATGATAGATTAAAACTCCCTCCATCAGTGACATCAGTAAGTCCTTTGTAATTTATAGTATTGAGTGTTGCCTGGGGCACAGAGAAGTTGAGGAAATGGCTCATGGTCAAGTAGGTAAATATATATTGGAGGCAGGATTTGAACTTAGATCTTCTGAATCTAAGGCCAGCCTGCCATCCACTATACCATCCTGCTTCTCCAAAGTGCTCTATAAATCTTAAAATACTATGGAAATATGGAGTTTTATCAGTACTAAAGAAACCAGACAAGATATCTTCAAGTGTTTTTCAGCCTGCCTCTGTTTGAAACATTCATTTGTGAGTGCTTGCCAAGTAAATCTTTATTTCTTGGAAACTAACTGTGCCACAAAAACTGAACCTTGATTCTCTATAATAGCAACAAGCTTCAAGTTTGGCATTGACCCTACCAGCACCTTGGCCAGGCCAAGCTGCCAAGGACATGAGGTCCAATATCCATACTGCCTTTTCTCAGTTCACCAAAGACATGCTTTGGAAAATTACTGGCACCTATCTAGGGATGCTGGTTCCATTTGCTCACCCATTGAACTACTTCGGGTTTTTCTTCTAGTTTCTTACCTTCTCCCTTGCCACCATCTTCCATCTTTATAAATAAGTCAAGGATATGGTCTTCATAGTACAACTTCATGTGGCAGCAAGAGTGAAGGGCTTCTTGTTAAGAGACATGGATTAATAACCCACTTTTGACAATAACAGCCAAAGAATAGACAGACCATTTCACCTCCATGAACTTCAGCTTCATTGCCTGTAAAATTGGGGAATAATGGTCTGCCTGCCTCAAAGAGCAGCAAAATGGCAGACTAGATAGAAGATTCACAAAGACTTGTACTCAAGTCTCATTTCTGGAACATATTAGCTTTGTGACTCTAGATAAATCATTTAATCCTTCAGTGATGTAGGCAACATCTTAAGGCTGTAACTTATTGTCAAATTGTCAGTCTGCTGAAGTGGAGAAAATTTCTGCTCTGTGCTTTTCTCAAATGGATGCAGTTGCAGGATTGGACCGAAGATAAACAACTCATCTATGTAACAGCGTGATTGTGAAAAAAATGCTACCATAAATTTTAAAGAACTATAAAAATATATGCATTTTAATAATCCTAAAGAGGATCTTAGGGAAAATGAGCAATTGCTCCAGACTCATTTTGCTAATTGTTCTTCTAAGATTAAATAATCAGGCCCAGTTATTTATCAAATTAATGTGAAGCTTCCAATGGATGCTGCTTTATTTAGGGGCATGACTCTCAGATGGCTTCTGCAGAACATAAATTCTATTACTCAGTATTGAAAAATTACATTTTCCAAAAGAAAGTAAAACTCCATCTATGCCACTTTATGAAACAGCTGCTCATCAAAGAATTTATATTTGTGAAAAGAAGTATACACTCAATGAAGATGGGTTGATCATCAAGTAAGAAACGTAAGCAGTCTTCATGTTCCATTTGTATCCTCAGCTGTCAACAAAACTCAAGGAAGGTCCCTGGAAAATGGAACGAACCTCCCTGTGGCAAACCTATGGAAGGATCTGGACAAGAATATTATAAGATGGGCAGGCATGAATGGGCTGCCATATGTATCCTTCAAGGGAATCATTTGTGTCAATGAGATGGCAGGTCCTTTTGCAAATTCAATAGTATTTCATTATCCAGTCCCGGATCTGGTACTTACAGGTTGTGTAACCGTGAGGTAGATGAGAAACTCTTCTGAGCTACTATTTCACCTGTAATATGAAAATGATGTAAACAATTGTTACCTCCCTGAGTTGTTCTGGGAGAGGTATATGGCAAAATCCAAAGATCTGCAAAAAATATGAATTATAATAGAAAATGACAGCATAATACAGTAGCACAGGAGCTAGCCTTTGTATTTCTTTGTATCCTCAAAGATCAACATGTTTTTTGGCACATGGCAGGTCTTTAATAAGTGCTCATTGAGAGCAGCAACTCTGGGAGGTCTCAGGCCAGAGATAGTAAGGGTGGCAGATAACTGGTCAGAAAGTGATTATAAAGGTCTCTTTGCCTGGCACTGGGTATGGCTGGAGCTAAACTTTATTGTCCATACACAGTTCTGGGTCACAGTTCCATGATGGAGAAAGGTGTTGGGGATCAATCACAAAGGAGCAGGGGTCCTAGTATCAGTTCCAAGACAAAGAGGAGCCCTAGCACTTGCAGCTACAGGAGACTAGCATCTTTCCTAGTTAAGACCAGAACAAAGATCAGGGTAACAGTGATCATATCTCTCCTAAGATCACACCACCTTGGAGGCACCAAAAATTTTCAGACTCCCAGAACTAGCTCTAAAACAATAGTACAAAAAAGCCTGAAGCCTGGCACAGTGTCTCCCCACCCCCATGCGAGCAGAACCCAATTTTAAGATCAAGTTCTAAGTCAAGAAAGAGATCAAGAGTCCTCCTGAGGATGAGATGCACTATCATCATCCCGTGTGCAGAGGATAGGCTGCTGTACAGACTGAAGTGTTAGTCATGCAGCCTGAATATCTGACACACCCAGGAGGTGAGACTCATGAGGCATCTGCACATGGCCACTGTTGGCAAGCACCACCTAGACACAAGGCAATCTCAGACCCTGGAAAAGTCAGCAAAAACGCCATCAGCCAGCAAGACCCCTTAGCCAGGGAAGGAGACCCCCAACCCCAAAGGACCAGAGGTCACAATGGCCCCCTCTTCCCACAGTGAGCCTTTCCCCCAGTGGTGGCCAGCTTCCAGGGCTCTCTCTGACCCCACCTGTGGGTGTGCCCCATGGTGTTCAGATTATTTGTTCCACTAGAGATGTGTACCACGAGTACAGTTGTGGTGATCTCTGGTGCTATCATACAGCGGCTTAGCTTGGGCACCCTCAGCTTCCAGGTGCTTCCCAAGCTGGACTGCCTTCCTGTAGCATGACCCTATCTCAGGTCCTGGCTGAAGGGGAACATACTCGTCCTAGCCAGCTTCCATGAAGCAAAACTCTTCAGTTTCCCAGGATGTTAAGTCACTTGGAAGCCCTTGAACAGACTCAACATAGGTCTGGAAATAGACAGTCAAGTCAGCTGGACTCCCATCTACACATTCAGTGGGCCAGGTAGAAGCCAGCCAGACCTCCTATCCAACCCCTGTGGCTATCTCCATCTAGACAGATCTGCCAGCCCCTCAATCCCCCAGGCAGGGCAGAAGAAACCCCTCTTAATTCCTGTGACTTCAGGCCCTGGGGCTCCATCAAGATCTCCAAACTCCAAATCTAAGCTGGTTGTCAAGCAAGGATTATCTCCTCAGCCTGTTTCCCAGAGGCTTGTTGATATGGTCCAACTGCTGATGAAGTAAGTACCCAATTGTGTGGCAGGGCCTCTTGGCTCTAAAGAACAACACTGTGGTCATGCAGCTCCACTTTGTCTGTGGCAAAAACATCCTTCCCCATTGGTGTCTCCTCACTTCAGAAGTGATCCCTTTCCTGAGGTCTGCCCAGAGGATGAGCCTGGAGGTCTCCCAGCTGGAAGGGATTACTCAGAGGATGATGGTGGAGACCAATTACTGCCTGCGCTGGCTTTTCCTTGCAGCCAGGACCAGGAGGATATTGTGAACCAAACCCAGTCCCTCAAGATTATGTTTATCAACTACCTGCAGACATCATCAATGTCACCAACCTGGTCTCAGATCAGTCTGTTTATGTCCTGTAGATCTTCCCTCCCACTGAGTTTTCAGAGACAATTTTCCTGCCTGGCCCCAACCTCCTTGCTAGCATCTCCAACATCTATCCCCACCTTGTGATCACATTGCCTTTGTGTGAGCCACTGACAGACTGCTGTCCAAGTTGGTTTATTCTTTCCAAGGCCCTGCAAGGAAAAAAAAATGCCACCGCCACCACCACCAACATCAACAAATAAACCAAAAGGAAGAAGAGGATGATACAGAAGCAGAT